TCAACCATAAATATGATTGGTCAATTCCAATAGAATAACTGGCAGACAAAGTTAACCGGAGGTGAAGAAATTGGGCATAAGACGGTCTTGAATTAAGACTGGACATAGGCCGGTATTCATAGTCAGATCTTATATTTAAGATCATCTTAGGCTGTGTTCAGATTCCTCCTCCGGATGCACTCTATTACTAGAAACATTATGGCCGGTAATTATAGGCTGCCTTCCGAAATAGTGCTAAAAGTACTGACAGTGGGTGCTTACGATAACGAGAGTAGAGCAAGTGAGATCTGGACCGGAGAGAATAGTATAATCTTCCATCTAACTGTAATATTCTATGGTCTGCTCTTGCTCTTGCTCTTACAGTCTCATGATGAGCAGATCAAAAGCTCGATTCTTGACGGTATGCGAATGAGATACGCATGCGAAAATGTATAGTTCACGTTACGTATACTGTAGATTTTCGCATGCGTATCTCATTCGTACATCGTCAAGCATCGGGCCCCAGGAATTCGTCTCACGAACAACAAAGAATAATGTATCATACTTAAAGTATATTAATATTTTATCTTCTTTATTTAAAGAATTATATAACATATTATTTCAGTTTATTAATTATTTGAGATTCTCAAACTCTCTTTAAACAAGGGTTGAACCTGTATTAATAGTTATTACTTGAAACTTGTCTCACGTCAGATGATCCGATTGCAATTATCAAAGATTGCAAAGAGCTTGATTAATTTCTTTTAATTGAACCGTATGAAATACGTGACATATTATATATAGTATAATCTTGATTCAGCTAAAAAACTCACATCTAAGTATAAATTTAAGATAAAATATTAATACACTTTAAGTACGATACATTATCCAAGTAACACGTGTCGTTTAAGAAATGTTTTTGATATATTTTACAAACAATAATAAAACGTATATAAAACCAACATGTGCTATCAGGGTACCCTTTATAGTTTATGAGACGAATTTCTGGGTAATGATCATAACTGCTTACGAGGTTACCCGACAAAATCCATAAAAAGGGAGGGGATAGCGTTGGTACCAGCGAAAACCCCTAGTAACTCAAATTAAATTTCTGTGGATTAGTAACACTGAATAAGTAGTAATACATGCTGGTCAGCCGAAGCTTTTTTTATGTAAGTGGTATGTGGGGCTTATGCGTATTTGACGTTTTGACATTACGTGTTCGTCGGCATATGAGTCGCGTATATACGTGAAGTAATAAATATCTTATAAATGTATATGCGTGTATAAAGTACTCTGTGACATGTTATTGAAATCAAAATAAATAAAACTGCAAGGTGAAAACAATAATAAAAAAAAGAAAACTTATATTATAAAAATAAAAAATTTTTATTGATAAATAATCCTTATAAGAAATTAATAGTGGTGCTGTAATAAATTGGCGAGTGACAAATTACTCTTGCGCCTTGTAATTTTATTACTTTTGTACAAGCAAAATAAAGATAACAATACTTAATAAATAATATACATCTATATAGGTTTAGAATATTAGTTACTTATCTGACATTTATCTATCCATCAATTTACTTCACTCTATTCTTCTTTTCATGCTTTCATCGTCTGCTACAGGTTTCATTCTCCAGTTGACAGTGATTCTCCAGTTGACAAATTAATTCTACCTCGAAGAACGAAGCCGCAACAGTGAATTATATTTATGTAAGCATTTCACAAAATTTAAAATTTAATATTGTTTATTTAAATAATATCCTTTTAGAAAATATATATTTTCTCTAGCTGTAATATATATTGGCCAGTGATTAATTATTGTTTCATTAAGTATTGTTATCTTTATTTTGCTTGTACAAAAGTAATAAAATTACAAGGCGCAAGAGTAATTTGTCACTCGCCAATTTATTACAGCACCACTATTAATTTCTTATAAGGATTATTTATCAATAAAAATTTTTTATTTTTATAATATAAGTTTTCTTTTTTTATTATTGTTTTCACCTTGCAGTTTTATTTATTTTGATTTCAATAACACGTCACAGAGTACTTTATACACGCATGTATATTTATAAGATATTTATTACTCCACGTATATACGCGACTCATAGGCCGACGAATACGTAATGTCAAAACGTCAAACACGCATAAGCCACACACCACTTACATAAAAAAAGCTTCGGCTGACCAGCATGTATTACTACTTATTCAGTGTTACTAATCCACAGAAATTTAATTTGAGTTACTAGGGGTTTTCGCTGGTACCAACGCTATCCCCTCCCTTTTTATGGATTTTGTCGGGTAACCGCTTACGATATCGAGTGCAGAGCGAGTGAGAACTGGATCCGAGAGAATAGTACATATTCCCATTTGCAACTAATATATTCTATGGTTGCTCTTGCTCTGCTCTGTTCTGTCTTTTATCCACAGGAACAATATGACTGCGTAAGCACATCAAGGGCCAAGGCATCAATCATGAATCTTTTCACATGAAAACTCTGGATTTTCTCAATTATTTATTATTTTTCTTTAGTATGAATCTATGAGAAGTGAATTGTTTTGCAGGGGAGCGATACACTTGGACACGGTGCATTTGGACACAGCCAATCACAGCACCGTGTGATTAGAGACATTTGTAGGGTCCCTTGGAACAGCGACTTGTGATTGGACTGTGTCCAATTGCCCCGTGTCCAACTGATATACACCCGTTTTGCAGTACTTGAATGCGATCGTAAATCCTTTCCTCCACTGTAAACTTGTGAAAAGGGTACATTTCCATATTTTCAAGGTTAGATTTTTCACTTTCCACGAGTTCACATTAAGTGAAAAGATTCATGACCGACCCTCTGGGCACAAAGATTGTCGCAATCATTTCCGACAGTATCGTAGACGTAAGTCGGTGTCGGAAGTCAACGCACAAGGATTGAAGTAGACTTATGCTACATCAATTGTGTCGTCCGACGCAATATTGTCCGAAGTTATATTGTTCTTGTGGATAAAAGACAGAATAGAGCAAAGCAAGAGTAGCCATAAAATATATTAGTTGTAGATGGGAATAGATACTACTTCCTCTCACTCGCTCTGCACTCGATATCGTAAGCATCCTATGTAACTTTTCCCCTAGGGCGGAAACATGAAAAGTGAAAAGTTTCACGTGAATTCGTGATCACGTAACTCGGCAAAACATGGAAACGTGAGACTTTTCACGTGAACTCGTGATCACGTAACTCGGCAAAACATGGAAACGTGAAACTTTTCACGTGAACTTGTTAGCCATGAAATGTGCTGGCGGAAAAGTGAAAATCTAGTGACATGATGAATATAGAATATATTATGCTACTGTTGTGATGAGATACTGGAAACATAACAATCCTAAGGTTATAGCGATGTTTTTAAGGTTATATGTTATATGTACAGCCGATGGATATAGCTGATTTGACCGATATTGAAATCATATAGGAACCATGTTTAGTGATTTGTGCTTTTCACGCATAGAGTTGCTTGATTGCGTGAACAATGAAAAAGTTCACGTGAAATCGATAGAGCGAAAATTAAAAAGTAAAAAGTTCCGCTCGAAGTTACGTGATCACTGGCCTGATCTGCTCCTGTGTTCATGAGACTGCAAAAGCAGGAGCAAGAGCAGACCATAGAATATTATAGTTATAGATAGGAGATTATACTATTCTCTCGGATTCAGATATCACTCGCTCTACTCTCGTTATCGTAAGCACCCAGTATTGATATTGAAATCAGCTATATTGGTCGTTCCAAAATTGTTAAGCTGTAGTAATAGCGTAGGAAAACGGAACGCGTTTTCAGTATCGTGCAGTAGCTCGTAAAGACATAGGGTGCTTCCGAAATGTCCAAGTTTGGATCGAGTTAGTTCCACTATAGTATCCGTTACATATACTATAGTGGAACTAACTCAACTCGATCCAACTCTGGATATTTCGGAAGCACCCAAAACCTAACTGAAATCAATCTATGAAAGGCAAAGAACATTGTTATAATTATAAATAAGGTATCACCGATTGTACTTGGCGCACAAAATATAGTGCATTTTTTAAATATTATATTAAATATACAGGGTGTCTCACACTCTCCTCCGGGCATTTAGTGGGGACGTAGAATGGGTTGATATGAACATAAAAGTCCTATACCGTTTTGCGAAATTCGTAATAATAATCGAGTAATTAATTGTGAAAGATTAAGGAAAAGCGTATGCTGAATGGTAAAGAACAGACCGCTTGAGTCACAGAGTAGCCCAATAATATAGCGCGCGGATGTCGCGCGTGGCGATTGGAAGACAATGCACCACTGTCTATACTTATAGCGTTTTTCATTGGTAGAACTGGTGTGCACTGAGTGCGCACTACGGCTTGTTTACAATACATTTTCATATTTAAGATCGTGTCTTAAATACATATTTAAAAATATTTTAGGTAATAAAATGATTCGTACGGATGTTATATATATTATATTATTGGTTAAAAATATTTGAGAATTTATTTAAGACAATCTTTCAATATAATAACATACTGTGAAGCCTTAGTGCGCATCAATTCTGTCAGTGAAAAACGCTATTATACTGCTGTGCTCCTACATCTCGTCTCGATGCGGTGCGGCAATGCATTGGATGCAGAGAAACGTTGCGTACATACTTACTTTTCTATTTATTTCTTAATATTTATTTCTAAGAGACGTAAGTATATACGTACTCTCTCTCTTAATGGTTTTCAGGCCTAACCCTATTGGCCCTTTCATCAGCTTTATGATATGTAGAAGTATGTACGCAATGTTCCTCTGCATCCGCTAATTCAATCCGTCCCTCACGGACACGATTTGGGTTGTGTTCCGTTTCACACATTATGCGCGCATTCCCTATAATATATGTGACGTGAATTGTAGATAAATGCGCGCATATACATGAAACGGAACACGGTCTTGGTAATCCGATTAGCCCAGAGAACTTTCTCTCTAGACAATTTACATCACTGCGATTAATCCAATTGAAAATCCAATTGCTACACGTAAACACTCAATGTTTGCCACAAAGACCATTTTTACTTGTTTGTTATATTGTTAACCAGATTGGTACACAACCAGATTTTACAAATAGTCGTGCATAAAATTTTATTCATGTATAATATGAGCTTATGTTTTTGTTCCATATCACTCGAGCAACCATATTCATTATTATATATTTTATTATATCTTGCACAAATCTGTTCACATAAGTAATGAATATTATATTATTTTTTAAAATTATTCGCTTGCAGTCTTTATTATGCTTCTGCCGCCTCGACCAAAAGTCTAGAAAACATTTTCTAGTCGGACTATCGGCTAGGAAATGTTCTGGCTGCTAGCCGAGGGAAGGGAGGCGCGCTGACATCACAACTATAGAGAAACAAGGATGGCGTTCAATAGTTTTTCTTTATCTAACTAACTTGACTTAACCTTCCTGCTCTTGCGTCCGCGCAAACAATACGCTTGTGTGAGACGTGTGTATAGACATACACTTACCCACAGATGACAATGGTTCGCGCTCTCACCACACGAGGTCTCCAAACGCAACTCAGGATTTGCCTACGACCAGGGTTGGGCAGTATTAAGGCCCTTGCAGAATGCCAGGCAACAGGCAATAGGAATAGACATTAGCCAATAGGAAAAGGGAATAGAAATAATTGACCAATCCGAATTCCTATTGCCTGTTGTCTAGCATTCAGCAAGGGCCTTTAGGGCTGTGGCACACAGAAAATCTTAAGCAGTAAGACGTAAGCAATAAGCAAATTGACCAATCACAGTCGTTGATTCTTGGGCCGTAAGAAGAATCAATGACTGTGATTGGTCAATTTGCTTACTGCTTAAGTTTTTCTGTGTGCCATCAGCTTAAAGCTGGTGGCATCTAAAATTATGCATTGCGCCATGTTGTTTCGTGCACTATGGCGTTCTTTTCCATCCTACCAGGGGCTCAATTCTTGACGGTGTACGAATAGGTTTGTTCGAATTGCTTGTACTTTTCACACTTTTACACCTGATGCCCGTTGCACACTAGTGCACTCCAAACAAAACAAATTTTTAAAAATACATTCTGAAGACGTTTTCAGGACGGAGGGACGTCACCAGAATATTCTTAGGACGTCCTTTGAAAATGTGAATTATCTGAAAATAGTTAATATCCAATAAGTTTATTCACATTAATTGAATTTTTTACATTTTCACACTTAGTGCACATTAATTCTTTAGAGGTTCTAAAAATGGCGTCCTGTTTTCCTTTCGTGTTACGAGTGTAAATGCAATTCTGATACACTTTTCACTCTTGCTTGGGATCAAGTGTAAAAAGTATATTAAAATTGCAATTACACTTGTAACACGAACGGAACTCATGACGTCATTTTTAGAACCTCTAAAGAATTAATGTGCACTAAGTGTGAAAGTGTAAAAAGTTCAATTAATACAAATAAACTTATTGGATATTAGCTATTTTCAGACAGCTCACATCTTCAAAGGATGTCCTAAAAATATTCTGATAACATCCCTCCGTCCTAAAAGGATCTTCAGAACGTATTTTGGAAAATTTGTATTGTATGAGGTGCACTAGTGTACAACGGGCATTAGATGTAAAAGTGTGAATAGTACAAGCAACTCGACAAACCCCTATTGAGATACGTATGCGAAAATCTACAGTATACGTAACGTGAACTATACATTTTCGCATGCGTATCTCATTCGCATACCGTCAAGAATCGAGCCCCTGGTATGTCTGAACCTATGAACTTTTTTGCTGTACTCGCCAGTTCCAGTTCCGAACCAATGCAGTTCTAGGCTGCGTTCCAAAATTTACTGCCAGTATTGAAAATCTATAGTATACGTAACATAAACTATAGATTTTCAGTACCAACAGTGAATTTCGGAACGCAGCTCTAGTACAGCACTAGTTCAGTTGATATGAACAACCTCATAGGTTAGGTAAAAAGTGTACCAGTATACACTTCTTGAACTAGTGTAAGAAGTTCAGCTAGAAAGAATAAACCTGTGTCTTGACAAGAGTTCGGATCTGATATTTCTTTGGAACTTGTACTTTGATGCCTTGGTAGAAAGGGCTATTTGAGAAAGTTTGCAAGCCAAGTAAAATATAGTGAAGAAGAAGAAGGAAAAGGAAGATAGCTGAAAGAAAGAAAAGTGCTATCGTTTTTTAGCTTATCGTACTTATAGTTAAAACTATAAGTACTTATATAAATAAAAAAAGAAGATTTAAGCCGTGTTATACTAAATAAAAAACTGAGTGCAGCATTTTATTAATAAACAACATTTTTGAGGTTATATTGCTCGTGTGTGTGATTACAAAACAGAATTAAAATAAAATATCAAGTAACAGACACAGAGAGACAGAGAGCAAGATGTCAGAGGACGAAATGGAAAGCTTTGAAATTACTGATTATGATTTGGACAATGAATTTAACACAGCCCGTCCCCGACGCAACCTCACGAAAAAACAACAAATGCTAGGTACAATATGTCATATTAAAGTGGAAAATTAAAGAATCTAAAAATTATAAGCAATATGTTTTAAAAAATATATGAATATGTATTCTGTAAAATTATTACTGTGTGTATAATACTTTCTTTAAATATGACAACTCTTAAAAATTGTTTTGTCTATTTTAACACAGGGATGTGGGCTGATGACAGTGATGAGGATGAATTATCAGCAAGACCATCTTTTAAAACTTTTAATAAAGGACCAAAAAACTATAGAGCACCAGTTAATTTTGTTGCTGGTGGTATTCAACAAGCAGGAAAATCAAAAGATAAAAAAGAAGATAACGATGAAGAGGAAGATGAAAATGATATACGAGAGTCTAAACATCAGGATGATTCAAGGTAAAACTTAACACATAAAAATTTGTTATTATTTTTCTAGCAATCTTAATAACAGACTTGCATTATTACTATTTCATTTAGCTCAGAAGATGAAAGATCAAGTAATTCAAAATCACAATCATCTTTTCCTTTGAATTTGGAGAGTGACATTGCAGGTCTGCGTAAAAAACGGAGTCAAATAAATCCATTATTGATGAAAACTGGAATGGGTAGCTGGGAAGTACATACAAAAGGTATTGGTGCCAAATTGTTATTACAGGTATGTCACGAAGAGATAGTCTATTAATTATAAATAAGCTAGTGAACAAAGTAGTACAGTAATGAAAGGAAACATTTCTCACCTCTAGATGGGATTTGAACCTGGTAAAGGTTTGGGCAAACAGTTGCAAGGAATAAGTGCACCAGTGGAAGCACATCTCAGAAAGGGAAGAGGTGCAATTGGTGCATATGGTCCTGAGAAGGTACCTAAAATTCCAGATATAAAAAAGGATGACGATGGAGAAGAAGCAAAAGAACTAAAATCCAAAGTATCTCAGTGGCGGAAAGGTGATAGTAGCAACAAAAAGAAAACGAGATATTATTACAGAAGTGTAGACCAAGTTCTCGAGGATGGAAAATTGAAGCCGAATAGAAAGTTTCCAGTATCCAGTGAGATGAGCAGGGTCAAGGTAATCGATATGACAGGGCCAGAGCAGAGAATTCTTAGTGGTTATCATGCAATTGCCGGTGGCCAGCAATGCCCAGACGAAGTCGTAATTACATCCGACAAGAAGTCTAAAGTAAACTTTGCCCTGCCTGAATTGCAACACAATTTAAATTTGCTCGTGAGCATGTGTGAGCAAGATATTATTCAAAATGATCGGCGGATGAGGTATTTAAATGATAGAGTGGTTGCTCTACAGGCAGAAAAAAAGAACTTGTCTAAAGTTGTCGATCAAAATAGTAAACTAACTGATACCTTGGAGAATGTGCTCGTGATTGTGGATAGGTTAATGAACGAAACTAATGAGTTGACTCTGCAAGAAACTGCTGAAGCTTTCAAAAATTTAGAAGATAATTATTACGAAGAGTATAAGATGTACGAACTTGGTGAATTAGCTAGCAGTTTTGTTGCCCCGAAAATAAAGGATTGCCTGTTGAGTTGGAATCCGTTGATGGAACCGAAGAAACCGATTAAATTGTTTGAAGAGTGGAAAGATATTTTGGAAAATGGAAGCAATACTACATTACAAACACGGACTATGCACCCGTACGATCAGTTAGTGTGGAATGCATGGATGCCATCGATCAGAGGAGCCATACAGTAATATCACATACATTGGTTTATATAATTCCAAAAAAGTGAATTTTTAATTAAAATATGAAAACAGACAATTGCATATCTTTTAATATTTTTCATAAACATTATAGGCAATGGACATGTAGACAGCCTGAACCCCTAATCGAACTGATAGAGCACTGGATGCCATTATTACCCAATTGGATCTTGGAAAATATACTGGATTTATTAGTTTTACCGAAATTAACATTGGAGGTAGAAGAATGGAATCCTCTTACTGATACTGTACCTATTCATACATGGATTCATCCTTGGTTGCCATTATTACGTGAGTAATATTTACATGCAATATGTACCAATGCGCGCATATTTGATTATATAGATGGACTAATACTAATTGTGTATGATCTTCTTTAGGAAATCGTTTGGATACATTAATTTATCCTATAATACGCAGAAAACTTGGATCTGCATTAGGAGGTTGGCATCCATCAGACAGATCTGCAAGACTAATGCTACAACCTTGGGCACAAGTGTTCGCCAAGGGAGACATGGAAGCGTTTTTAGTGAAGAATATAATTCCAAAATTGCAAATAGCTTTATCTGAATTTGTTATAAATCCACATCAACAGCATTTGGATCAGTGGAACTGGGTATACGAGTGGAAAGATTTGATCCCGCCCCATATAATGAGCGGATTGCTCGACAAGTTCTTCTTTCCAAAGTGGCTGCAAGTCTTGGCACTGTGGCTTAATCATTCTCCCAATTACGATGAAGTCACAACTTGGTATATGGGTTGGAAGGGAATGCTGAGTGACAAATTATTAGCAGAGCCGGCGGTAAAAGGTACGTTCTTTATCGCGTAATATAATGACGAATCAGTGTTCCTCGTTGTTCTTTCGCTCACTGAAATGTATGACGAAATGTAAATATTATTTACAGATCACTTTAAGAAAGCATTAGATATGATGAATAGGGCTGTCACCGGACCACAGAGTCATCAACCGGGCGCACTGGAACAGGTTTCATATCTAACGAGCTTAGAGAGAACTCAACCGACGATGTCACAAATGACACCAATTGCACAACCGCGGATAGAGGTATAATATTGCGTTATGTGTCACGCGCGGTCAATACATATGATATTATAATTAATACTATATCGAATTTTGTTCGCAGAGACTCGCGGAGGCAGTGCGAACCGCTTCGCAGATCCCGCAAGGCTTCAAGGATCTTGTGCAAAAGAAATGCGAGGAACGTGGCATATTGTTTATGCCGATTCCGAACAGATACAAGGAAGCCAAGCAAGTTTACAAAGTGGGCAATGTTCAAGCGTACATCGATGGCAATGTATTATTTGTATGTCACAATGGTACAAACTGGATGCCAACGCATTTGAATGCCTTGTTGGATATGTCTGAACTTTAGGACAAATTTAATATAAAATTAGTTGCACAAGTTGTTCAAAGTATATCGCTGTTGTATTTATATAATAAATATGCTGTAAAATATTTCATTTGAAGACTATTGACAAGATAGTCTGATATATTGTTATATCCGTTCGCATCCACTCATGTTCATGTTATATACGTACACATATACGTACATACTTAGCTATAAGTATGCTAAAGATACTGTCACTTTTGCACTGTTAAATTTATATAAATAAACCAATATCATGTTTTGTCACATGCACATTTTCATTGTTTTATATCAGTATGTTTGAATGCCAACGAGTATCTATATGCTTTTAACAAAATCTAATTGTGAGACACGATTCCAATGACGTAATCGTGTAATGCTCATAATTCAAAACTTACGAATTATCACGGAATGAAATTCTGCATTGTTTCCTAAAAAAAAAAAAAATAAAATGATTATTAAATTACGATGCCAAAAGTGTTAGAATCTCTCTTACTTTGAAAATAAAAATGAATTAAATAGATGAAATAGCAGAATGAAATTATATCGCATACATTTCCTCGGATTTCGCCGTGTAAATCTCTTTCACGTATACATTATCGACTTCTGTTCAAAGAGTCGCATGCGTGTAGGCGTTCCTGCTTATCCCACTACTGAAGCGTAGCTTTAAAACTTCTCGATATGGAAAGTTGCGAGCGACTCCCGCGGAGTTGTACGTATACAGGGTGGGCCGAAAAGGAGAATGGATGGTACGATTGATTTAAATTTAGACGCGAAATGCGAGACAAAATCGCGGGCATCATGAAGACAAATTGCTAATGGAATGATCTTAAAAGAGTGCCTCTTGTTTTTCATTTTAAATGTAGCAAAAAAAAAATATATATATTTATATATGTCACAATTAAAGAGTACAAGTCTAACATCGGAACCTTAGAACGTTTTAGAATGATCTTCGGTTCTGGAATATTTTTCGATAACATTACTCATCACACGGCCATGTTATATTTATTTTTCATCTATTTCTGTCGCATTGCTCAAGCGGCAACGAGCGACAACAAGCTCGCGACGCCTATGGCAGGAGGACACCGACGCGACTCTTAGAAGCTCCAGAGTGGTCCTGCGAGAAAGGATGGACGTCTCTCGCCTACACGTCTAGCAGATCCCGTCCCGGGTGTCGAGAGCGCATTTGCATCGGATCGGAGTGTCCCTGCCTAGTAACCGTGCGGCTGCAACTGCATCGCGTCCTGACGGTCCTTGCACTCTCGCGACACCGCCGGTGTGTGAGTAGGCTCGCCGAAGGCGTCGCGATACGCATGTCCATCTAGACGCGCGCTGTTCACGCGCGAACGCATAGAAAAACCCAGATATCATCTAGAGAGATGCATATGTAGCACCTATTCTAATTCTCTGTGATATTCCGCGCACAAAATACAAGAAAGTCGCGCCAAATTCCTCTTGCTGCGAATTCTACGGCTGAAATCGATTTGTCGTTTTCCAACGACAAAAGAGAAGTTGGGGGAATCTGTTTGCTCAACGACTGACGAGCTTGTCTCGAGCGGTTTTCACGACGTGAAACTTTTCACTCGAGACTTTCGGTTGTGAAATACATTGTGGCACTGTCCTGCCCGTTCGTGTTCTGAAATCTATGCGGAGAACTCGCGCGATAAAGTAGAATGCTCGACGTGCGCGACGCATTTATGCGGCGCAACACAGCGCGGTCATAATTTCTTTAAATAGATCGTGGTTGCACCGGTTTATCCTTCGCATTAATGGCGCTCGACAACTTGTTCGCAATTTTTAGCGACTTCCACCAACGACGGGACAGTTCGTTTAATTATCACGCGAGATAATCGCCTCGCTCTGCACAGTGGCAGCGCGCTGCTCGTGCCGAATAACGAGCGGTTCGGGCTGCATCACGACGCTAATCCCGACGGCTGCAAATTAAATCGCGAGATGCGCGCGCAGGGTCGCGTAGCGCCGACTTCCTTTTTCGTAGCGCCGCTTTAACAGCAAAAACTCGGGACTAACGTAAAAGTCACGGGCTAAGTTAACGTATGTCATCGTGATTTGCGTAAATTATTTTTAGAGAATCGATGACGCGAAGATACCACACAGCGCACGCATAAAACGCGATCGGGCCCCGCATACATTCCAATCCCACGCAAATCTCGCCGTCTCTAAGTCCGCGCATAAAACGCCAAGTGCTCGCCAGGGCGCGAAACGCGCTTTTAACGCCGCGATGACTCGGACTGGCGATTCGGTTACCTTTTACGTTCTGCCGAAATCTGTCTATCGGTGCTGTCTAAGCATCTCTCTTCGACAATGTATGAAATTGTTAATAACTCTTGAAGATACCGGCGCAAATTAGAGATTCCATTGGTAAGTATTAATGAACGATTCGTATTTTGAATACCTAAAAAATTTGTACAGAGAAATTTTGATTACTTTGTCAATGGAATTGTTTTGTAAACGCGTGAAGTCCCGTAAAGAAACGATCGCGCGCTGCACGAGATATTCGAGTTTCCAAGTGAGCGTCGCCGGTATCGGCTCAATTTGCGCCACTTGCGCAATTTACAACTTCCATATTCCTCGAGCAAAATGACCGATTAGACTTGCGCAAGACTCGGATAAATTCGACGTGTGATTTACAGGATTAGGTATTCCAAGGAACACAGGCGTTCCTATGACTTAACCCATTGCCGGCGCGCACGTGGGCGTCGAATGGAAATTCGAGGCGCGAGACATTTACATTTGCGCCGGTATTGTGGGGAGATATAAAAGAATGTTAATGCCGCTATATAGTACCGCTACGCGTCGGTTTAAACAAACGGTCGCGCGATACGTTATTTTTATAAGCGCGCGAGTTATACTCGCTCACTAGCTCGCTCTTGGCGCAAATTGACTTGGGAAATCTTTCTCGTGGAAGACCATGATCGACAACGAAAAGCCAGTCCATCCCCGAGTCGAAATTTTAGCCTTACTTTGGGTCTGAACTTTCTAACGTCTAATAGAACTTTATAGAACTTTCTATAGTCTGAAAAATCAGTGTATGTGTGTGTGTGTGTGTGTGTGTGTATAAATATATAGGAACTAAAATCGCACTTAGTATCTCAAAATGACAGAAAACATGCAAAATACCACTTATACTCTCTTACAGTAAATCAGTGAATAGTCACTGATATCAGTTATAAATATAGCATTGAGCACTTTCAGTGCTATACTTATAACTACAAATCAGTGTATATTCACTGCTTTCAGTGATGTTTAACTGATTTATTTTGAGAGAGTAGATTCTAAAGAAGGCCTTTCGGTAAAATTAGTCGGTTAAATAGAATCAAAAGAGCTTGATGTGGATTTCAGAGTATCTAATTAAATGGTGTTAATATTGATCGAAAGCAGAATAGAAATTTCGCTTCGGGAAGTAAGAATACTCCGAACGACCCGAGAGATCATTATTCTCACACTTGACTATATCGTTATGGAGAGAAACCGACAACGAAAAGTGAGTCCATCCCCGAGTCGAAATTTTAACCCTGCTTTGAATCTGAACTTTCTAACATATCTATCTGTATAGTCTGTAGGATCAGTGTATGTGTGTAATACACATCGAAATTAAAATCTCATTTAGCACTTCAAAATGGCAGGAAACACATAAAATGCCACTTGTAGGTCTTAAAGAGGGCCTCTCGACAAAATGAGTCGGTTAGATAGAATAAAAAAAAGTAGATGTAGACTTTGGAGTATCAAAATAGGCATTAAATGGTGTTAATATTGATCGAAAGCAGAATAGAAATTTCGTTTCGGGAAGTAAGAATATTCCGAAGGACCCGAGAGATCATTATTCTCACACTTGACTATATCGTTATGGAGAAACCGACAACGAAAAGTGAGTCCATCCCCGAGTCGAAATTTTAACCCTGCTTTGAATCTGAACTTTCTAACATATCTATCTGTATAGTCTGTAGGATCAGTGTATGTGTGTAATACACATCGAAATTAAAATCTCATTTAGCACTTCAAAATGGCAGGAAACACATAAAATGCCACTTGTAGGTCTTAAAGAGGGCCTCTCGATAAAATGAATCGGTTAGATAGAATAAAAAAAAGTAGGTATAGACTTTGGAGTATCAAAATAGCCATTAAATGGTATTAATATCGATCGAAAGCAGAATAAAAATTCGGATCACCGCGGAGTAACAACACTCCGGAGGACCCGAGAGGTCGTTATTCTCAGACTTGATTATCGTTACGGAGAGAAAAAAATGAATGCATCCCCGCGTTCGCATAGTATTATTCGTATAATACTTTCCAGCGAGAAATTCAGCGCGCGAGCTGAAGCGCAACGCAACCGTGCGCGCGATATTATACCTCCAGGTTGCCTCCGCCGCCACGACGATCGGTATTACTCCGGTTCTCTTTTCGCATTATCTGCGGGGCCTCCCAGGTCGCAAGTGCGGCCGTAATGCGTGGAACTATATCGCGCTGCGCAGCACGAGCGCGCGCGCTTACGCCCAAGTCGCTCGGAATGGCTCGTCATTTGTATCCACGGCAAGGATATGAACGTAAGTGTTCCGTGTCACGCACAACCGAGAGCGCCGGAAATAGATTATAGATTATATCTGTTTTGCTCTGCTCTCGCCAACTAGAAACTTACACCATGCTCCTGGTCAGGTCAATTCCAACCTGATTTGTACAAGATTTGTACAGAGAAAATAATTTGGTCATATTAACAGAGAGTTTGGTTTCAATGAACGAATCATTTCGATCGAAGGGCACAGACTTCCTGTTGTTCTTAATTTGGTCCTAAGAAACAGAAAATTCCTTTTATTCAAACAAAACGGTTCGTTCAAACTTCACGTTAATACAACTGGATATTTTTTATGCACTTTGCACAAATTAGATTAAGATCAATTTGATCAGGACGATAGGACAAGTGAAGTCGGGTCTTGATAAGTCATATAACGCAGTGTGGCAATCAGGATCAGGATTATTAATAATTACAATTATAAATAATTGGATCTTGTTAATAATCAGGGGCCGACCATACCATCTATACAAACCAGAAAACTGATTGGGATTCATTTCTGCTCAGGGGCATAGAATACATTTCTACAGTCTAATCAGTATTTTTACAGTACTTTTCAGTACATAACATTTAAATGCCAATTTGTATCTCCTTATTCAATTGTCTCTCCAGAAAAACTCACGTGAGAAGTGTACGTTCTTTGGAAAATTCGACTATCAGGTCGTACACAGAAAATCGTCCTCGTTGT